CATTTCGAAAATACTGTAAACCTAAAATTCTAAGAATGTCGTGTTAAATTTTTATTTTATTTGGAGTTGAGTTTACAAAACGTATTTTATTAAAAAAATCTGTAATGTTTTCGTGCATAAATTTTGTTAATACTAAAATATTCATCAAATTTTTGGTTCACTTAGAAAATAGTGCCCATCTAAAGAATTCCATGAAATTTGAAATACGTACCATTAGCCATTTTTAAAATATCATGCGCGCAAGGTGGAAACAAGACGAAATATTTTGTCACAAAGCGGATTAAATTACATAAATATTTGTGGCAACACAAACTATCTAGTTACTAGTTTCTAAAGCAGCTATATTATGTAGTCAGCTGTAAAAATGTGGAAGTAATTGCTTTTAAAATAAATAAAATATCCCAATTCTTGCAACAGTCACATATTCGAAGATCATAAGGGGTTTAAGGTGTATGAGCCCCCCCCTTAATGTATAAAAAATTAATCAAAATAAGTGATTATTACAAGAGTTATACATGTTTAATATTAGTAGGTCACTTTCTATTTAAATCAACAGCAAATGCTGCTTTTTGAAAAAAAATCAAGTTATGACTTGGCGAAGATACACTGCACCAAAAAAGGGGTCCAAAAATAAAAAGCCCTGAATAATCCAAGATATAAATAATAATAATGGTAGAAAAATGTTGGAAAAGAATAATGACTGATAAAAGAAAATCAGAATCTATGAAGTAACATATAAATGCATTTAAAGAAAAAGCACTAGCGATACAACTCAAAATCAAAACAGCAATAAATAAGGGAAAAAAAAAAAAAGATTAATTTAAAGTCAAATTTCACCTAAATTTAAATTTCATATTAACGTGTATATTTTTTCATGCACTTAACGCGTCTTATAAATTTATTTTCAAACGCATTTCTAAGTCTCATAATAATTTTTCAAATAGAGTATTCGCAAAATGGCCATAAGCTTTATGACATAAACAATTGATCTTAACGTAAAAACAAAGCGAATAATAGACGATTGCCATAATATTTATCCGCTGTTTTCTAGTGATACATCATACCTACTTGGATCAAAAAGGACTCAAGTTTAATACCTTTCACCATTCGAGGACAAGAAAGTGCTGAAACCATTTCTCCACAAATGCCTCGATATTTTTCTTAAAAAATCTGGAATTGATCCTAGTAACATTATTTTTATTACTTTATAGGAGGGTATTATTGTAGCATGAGAAAAAAAGAAGAAAGTGGAAGACTAAGAAATTTCAAGGAATTTACAATATGCCCTAAATTTAAAAAAATAAAAAATAAATAATGCTGCAGATTGCAGATGTCAAGCTTTCCTTAAGCGCATCAATTTCTTGCTACAGTTTTTACAAATGGTCGTGTGCGTGCAGTTTAATTTATTCATCGGGAATGGCCAAAACATTTCCATCGTTCAGCAACCTCATCACCAAGAACGCTGCCTCTGGATGCTTTACAGGAGGCATTAGAATTTGCCCGAAAAAAAGGAAAGTTCTGTCTAAATTTACAAGAAAAACGGATCCTAAGCTTTCTTTCCCCTCTTACAACCAATTTTCCAACAAGATTTTCTGCTCGACATTGTTTTAAATTCCCCGCTGCCATAAAAGAAATACCCATGCCTTCTCTCGGGATTCAACCCTGAGTCCATGACTGTGGCAATCAGTTCCATGCCAACAGGACAACAGTAAACTAATCTTAGGTGCATTCATCATGTTTGGAAAGAATATAAATAAGTGAATGAGAATTATAAACCACACATTTAAACAATGCAAAAACAGTTTGCAGATTACTAGTTAGTTCTTAAAATATTTTTTTTAATATGCAATTCGATAACAGGCCAAACAGTTGAAAATGCTAAAGCATCAGAAGATCGTCTTCAGAATTCTTAGCGTCATTCAAAATTCATTAAAAGCGTAAAAAATTTACATTTTCTAGTACTTTGGTATTATCGCAATCACTTTGGTAGAAGTCGTCATATTTTCAGAAGTCGTCAAAATGTAGATATCATGTGCATACAATTCTTTACGCAACCATATCGATAAGTTTGAATAACCGTCGCCATTTTGGTCCATACTGTTTTGGTTATATTAGAAGCTCTTAAAGGTATATTACGATACTTTTCAGCTGAATTTTGAAAGCTACGCTTGTGGGATTTGCCTGCAAACGAAGAACATTCTGTGAAATCCTTTCAGAAACATAATATATTACCACAAAAGCAGGAATGTTCGGTTTCGCATTTGGATGATGATGTACTTTGGAAAATAACCGTTTTGGAAATGAAATGTGAAAAAGGCGTAACGAACAAGTCTACATTCGAAGCGGTAATACGTTTGAAAATAGTCGTCTGCCATTTACTTCAGCAGTAGTCAGATTTATATACTTTTAGCGCAAAGAATTAACCAGCGTTAAATTTTGCTTGGAGGCGTTAGAAATGACCGGTAAGACTGTGATAGACAGAATAACTACATGTGGGATATACCATTAGTAAGTAGCTTTTTAAATTGCTTCCGGGATAAATATTGAACTAAAATTAAAATATGTACCTAATAACATGTATAATACAAAATAAATATTTTTCTCCGACTTTAAATTACCATTAATACCCTTTTTCTTCCCGCGAAACTCATCTCAAATAAAATCCCAGTTTATGCCGATGCGATAAGACCGTTCCTCGCATTATTCAGGATAAAAGGTGAACACGTTATTCAGGGATCCTCCCCCCCCCCATTCGGAGGACTGAGGAAACCACGGGAGATAAAACATTAAACGAATCTATTAACAAACCAATAATGAAAAGGCAGAATTCGCATTCGACATAGGAAAACAATACATAGCTAGCCACCTCGTAAGGAATTATGGCATTCTCCCGTGCATGCTGTCGTGGTCGCACGTCGAGCTAGCATTTGGAACAAACATGATATGGATCCCAACGCAGATACTGTAAATTTCCTTATCCGAAATGCCTAATGGTGTCTATAGTAGCGGCCGAACTCAAACTGTAATAGATGACAGCTGGCAAGTTGAAAATCGTGGACGTCGTCTCTGGTATGATCCTGGCTAATCGGGAGATGACTATAATTAAAGATTACGTGCAATAGAATTCTGAAAAGTAATTACGCACACTGTTGTGATTGCTAAAAAAGAATAACTTCCTAAATAAAAACAATACAAAGATATTTTTTAAACATTGAAATTAAAACTTCCTTACACAAACTCATATATGGTATAGATATAATTAATGAATTATTATGAATGCTAAGATTATATCTTCTTAATATATATAGTAACTCGGCATTATTAAATGTTACACATCTTACCACTCCATATTTGTTTATCACTTAATGTATAATTATATATTAATTCATAATAATTTGTACGATATATATTCTCCTTTTAAAATTTTCGAGTGCTGAATAATTCGAGTGCAGAATAACCTCAATAGCAGCTATCTCATTAATGATGAACTACATAGAAAAAAAAATCTCAAGATGGATGATTCATTAAAGAAAATAATTATCCATAATGGAAAGTGCAACATCATTTTCTAAACCGATCACAAGATTATCACAAGAACCGATCACAAGATCACGCGCCCCTTCAAAGTGGACGTAAGATTAATATGCAACATTCCCATAACTGCAAAGACTAACACATAAAAACGTTTAGTAAAATAAAAAAACTGATGTGTACACCACATGACTTCCTTGTATTGGAATATTAAATAATACGCATTTTTCTTGCATTTCATTTAAACTTATTGGATTGAATTAAATCTTCTTCGCCGACAGCGCATAAACCACAATAGAATAAATGCATTCTTTAAATTTCACTCTAGTATTTGTTTACCATAGCGACACTCTGGCGCTAGATTCACTTAGCAGTATTAATAATTATATAACTGTTAACTTATATAATAATTATATAACGGAAACTATATTAACTGTTATATAATCCAATAATTATATAACAGTTAACTTATATATTTCGTTCACATTATAACTCATAATGCACAAAATTTATATCACTTAAAGAACAGAATTATCTAATCGTTGCCACATGTTCTATTCAAATACTATAATAAAGCTAGAATGATGTATAAAGAAATTAAGCAAACAAAACAAAAAAGAAACAGTTTTTCACAGACGATTGAGTATTTCTCATTCAATTAATTCAGTTCTCACTTCGCGAGAAGGCAAAAATACATAAAAACTCAAAATATCTATATTAAAAATTAAGAAGTAAATCTTAAACACTTATTTCCTCGAAAAAATTCCAGAAAGAATTAAGCATGATTTAATTGGCAATAATAAATGAATGCGATATCTTTGTTGTTGCGAAGCTAAGTTTCTCTATATTGGCAACAAATCCACTAGTCTCCTGTTTCAAATGTAAACATCCATGGCCGCCATAATAAAAAGGCTTAGCGGCACTTAGACAACTTTAAAATTGTTGATAATTCTAAAAATATTGCATACAGATTTACTAAAGGCATAAAAACCTTAACCGGAAGATAAAAACAACATAATACAATCATTTTTAAAGCAAAAAATGTACAATTTAAAAACATATAAGAGTAAAGAAAAAGCCGGGTACGTTTGGTACGGCCGATTGCAACTAAAATACGAGGTGCACATCTACATGTTATAGCAGTCTTATATACAAAATTTCAACGTTCTGAGGCTACTCGTTTTTGAGTTATGCGAGCTACGTACGTACGGACGTACGTACATACGTTCGTACAGACGCCACGAAAAATTCTCTTCAGAATTAATTTTAAAGCAGTTTTACAATTTTTTTTGAAGGAAAAGAGTATTTTATTCTGTCCTTACGTACAGATATCACGAAAAAACATCGTTAAATTGCATTCGATAGCGCTCAAAATGGATATTTTCGTTGAAATATGCTGCCTGAATCTTTTCGCGATTACAATACTTCCTTTTTACTTCGTACAAGGAAGTAAAAAAGACAGGACTAACAAGAGATAAGACGAAACTTTAATTTCTTATTTATATTTTATATTATACTCAAAACATATTCTAGATTTGTATTCAGAAGCAAAAAGGATAAATAAAAAATTAAATTTTGCTTTAAAAAAAGCAGCATTATTTGATCATTTATGTTACAAGACAGAACGCGCCAAATCATATTTTTGCAGAAAGATACATGTGCCAATATTCGACAGCCATTAACACATAGAAGACGGATGACCGGAATATAGGTCAGAGCTAAATATAAAATTAAATTTTGCTTTAAAAGAGCAGTATTATTTTATATTTTCTGTTACAAACTTTATATATGTATGCAATCCTTGGGTCGATAAATTGAAGACCATAATACTAAACTAAAAATGATTCCTAAGAAAATAAATAAGTCATAATTCACATCAAAAGCTATAAACATATGGAATATATAACACTTTCTATCAGACATATTTTCTAGAGCAGTGGCTCTCGACCGTTTTTGCCTCGTGCAGCCGTTTTACAATTGCTGAACAATCATCTCCCCTTCTTTTTCAAAACTAAAAAAAAAAAAAAATGCATTTAATTTTATATTACTTTAATGTGTTTTACAAATTAAGCAAGAAAACGTTGAAGAATACCAAAACTAGAATATACGAAGTGTTTTATATTCATAACTTAAAACTAAATACTCAACAGGTAAATAAAAGGCTGACCATATCTCTCCCCCGAAACTATGAAATTCCTCCCTTGGGAGAGTCCCATCTGGTTCAAAACCCCTGGTAAAGAGAAAGTTTTACCATTACATATTAACAACCAAGGTTACTGAACGCAAATTCAACCTACTATGCAGTAACCTACGACTGACATGGAGTAATATATTCAACCATTCTACATGCCACATAACAATCCGAATTGCATAAATAATGTTTACTAACATATTCCAGCTTTTGAACGGTATCTATAATGTCTTAGTCATACTGCATTAGAATAACTGCACATACAGCAATCAATTGAAACAATACTACCCAAACCTTCATTAACGAATCTGAGTTCTATCCCAATACATAACATTCATGTCATAATATCATAACGCTTGTCTATGTAAGCTCAACTATTCATATTTTAAATACAGAGACAATTCATACAGCTATTTTTAACTCCGGATGCAATGGAGAACTGATTCAATGAAATTTCAATTTTTCTAGCCCAGGACAGAGAGATTTCGTTTTCTTTTTAACGCCTGGAAGACGTGTTATATTTTGCAGTTAATGATCGAATACGGCCGGTTACAAATAGGCATTGTTGCCAATCGACGATGTGGAAAATCATTCATTTACAGCGAACTCCCGATTTACCGTCGATGATAGCGACGATGACGTCTTCGGTTAATCCCAAGATGGTTTAAAAATCACAGGAAAGTGGAATGCAATAACCTATACAGTAATTAAGAGAAAAGTACCATAAACAGTTGCTACATGTTATAACAGTCCTATACACGAGATTTCAACGTTCTGAGGCTATTCGTTTTTGAGTTATGCGGTACGTACGTATCTCGCATACGTTCGTACAGATGCCACGAAAATTCTCTTCAGAATTCATTTTAAAGCAGTTTTTATGATTTTTTTTTGGAGGAAAAGAGTGTTTTATTCTGTCCTTACGTACAGATATCACGCAAAAACATCGTTAAATTGCATTCGATAGCGGTCAAAATGGATATTTTCGTTGAAATATGTTGCCTGAAACTTTTCGCGATTACAATACTTACTTTTTACTTCGTAGAAGGAACTAAAAAGCAGAAACAAACGCTAACGCTTTTAAAAATTTAATTCCTTTTTTGAGTTGAGTTTTATTTCATACTGTTTTTGTTTCATACTGAATTTTGTTTCATACAGGGTAAAGCGAAATACGTGAGACATTTTCAATATTTTTTAGTTTAAAAATGATAGTGTAAAATGTATGCAAAAATAGAAAAGTAATTTGTATAAATAAAAAGAACATTATTAAATTTAAAGATCCTTTAACGGATTATATAATAATTCTGGAGTGTTTTCATGTGTGTTTAGTAATGCGCTGTGTTTATCATTTAAGCTGTCTCTTCGGGATACCGAGTATTTTGTCTCTCCCAATTTTTAAGTGTTAAAATTACTCGAAAGGGAGAAATGCACGACTAAACAGGGTATATGAAAAATCACTAAATATTGCTTAAATCAAACTGTAATTCGAAGTTTTCATTTTTTAAATTCATGTAAAAATTCCCGAAATATTTCGTCAAATAAAAAAAAGTCACTTGTGAAAAAAATGTTCAGAATTTGCTCTGTTGTGCCTTATTAAGAAACTTTGCTGTAAATGAACATCCTTCATCCAAGATCTCTTTGCACCTTTATTTTTTATTAATAATTTACTTATTTTAGAATGCCATGTGCGTAAATGTTCATTTACTTATATTACAATCCAAATAAATAAATATAAACTTTAAAGAATGCAGCTATTAATTTAAAACTCTAGTCCTCAAAAACACTTAACTTGAATACGCTGAAGAAGATACTGAAAATGAACAGTAGTTTTCACTGTTTAAAGAGAGCACGTTACACGTTTTCCAACCCTTTTTGAAAAATTAATTAATTTCACTTGTTCCAGCTCATTATAAAATCAATGAACGCTCGAAGATGATCTTCCAGAATAAAATCGCTTTCTTCAAATTAAGGAAGCGTTTTAGTCTTTAACCTAGCACTTCAAATTCATATTTAACAAATTGTATATTTTTCCATCTTCTCTTTTAACTTTTTATTCCTTATAAATAATATTCTTCTAGGCTGAAGAAGATTTACTATTAAAAACTCACATCATGTAAATAAAATTCTCAAAAAGTCATCTTTTCATGTGAAATTATCATTTTTATCTTTCGGATATTATCATCAAGTGATTTATTTTTAGAAGATTTTTGTCACATATACATAACCCTTGTCACTCAAAAAATAATAATCACACACATGCAGCCAACAATAATTAATCATTAATGTTTAATAAGCGCTGGAAATCTTATTACTCTGTACTATAATGGCTTTACAGTCTGGTGCTGGTCTGAACTAAAACATACCAAACGCATCAAACATCAGTATTCAAGTGCTGCAAGGTCTACCAGTGGCGTGTGGTTAAGACTGCTGAATACTGGTAATTCAATCTGGAAACTCAGGAAAAGGGGCTGGCTCGTGGCTGGCATTCGTGATTTTCCCCATGCGTAACGGGATAATGACCCAGTTTCCCTTCAAAAGTCCTCCACAAAGGCAATCCTCTTCATAGGCAGATAGCCTTGGTGGCTTTGGCATATTCAAATAACCTAATTAAGTGTCGCAGCTAGAACTGAGACGGAATAAAAATATACTCAAATGCGAACCGAGCGGTAGATATCCTGAATACTGGTAGTTCAGTCCGGAGTTCATGTACCGGCGAACGGGATGGTTGCATAGGCGTTGTGGAGCAAGTAATAAGTAATAATGCGAGGTTCTTCAGGCTTTTTTCCAGCTTTGACCCTTTTGATAATATGAAAGATAATAATACCAACATTGTGATAATAATACCAACATGTGTGTTGATAATAATACCAACATGTGCGTGTCTCACACACACATGTTGGTATCTCTTTAACGTGAGAGTATTACGATTTTAAATATCAATATTTTATTACTTTCAACTGCATGTATGATTACTTATTCTTGGTTATATGTATACGCACATTATACTCGTACACACATTATACATGGAAAAAACTACAAAAACATCTATGCAGAGCCGCTTCGCCGCGACTCGAGCCCCGAACCCCAACTACCAATGTTCAGCGTCTTTTGCCGCTCGGCGGTTGGTGGGCCAGTATTAAGTGTTGCATACATTTATATATTTTTTGCTGTATTCTTACTGAGACGACTTACAAAACATTTTATTTTGTATTTCAGTATTGATTTTTTTTTTTTTTTTTTTTGTGTGTGTGTGTGTAACTTTATTTGTTAAGTATCGCATCCTTAGCAATTACACTACATAAAAATTCAGCAGCAAAATTAAAAATATTTAAAAGCAGCATACGTTCAGAATTCTCGATACATTCATAATTCTCGATACAGAGTTAGACGTTGCCCTATATATATATATTATTTATATATATAACTAATTAAAGTGAAAAAAAAAACCGATTAAAGATCTATGTGGTCAAAAACTTTGCGCATTGAGCTGCAAAATTTTGGAAAAAATTAAAAGAATTTTCCTAGTTCATACGCTAGAAAGTTTCTTAGATACTGTGGTTCCATGAAAATATTAACATAAGTATAAATTACTTCACCCAAGTCTTACCGACTGATATTATTCAAAGCCCCTACTGCCGCTAAGAATTTTCGGACACCCTACACTTCTGAGTCAGACACGAAGAGAACACTTTGCCAACTCCCCCACTAGACAGAATGTAAGTTACTTAATACCTTTTCTGGCCTTTATATCTTCATGTACATTCACTGATCTTATTTATATTATTTTTATTATTTTATATTTATATTTTTTGATTTGTTTTTACAAAGTTTGCATTATTTATCTTTTTTTATAATCTTCTATGTTTATTTCAACTTTACTTTGAATTCGATTTCATAATGACAATTTCCAATGTTTAATTTCTACAAATAATATAGTACTCAAATGCATAAACATGAAAGTGTCGGGGACGGTTACTCGAGTTTAATAGGATTTCTCTACAGTAATTGATTTTTACTTCAAATTGAATTGACTAAAATGCTTCATAAGAATAAGTTCTTTGAGTATCAGCATTGGTTCATAATTCCTACTATTCGCGGAAATATTTGGCCTGACTAGAATTGCCGGTTTGGCTTTAACTTATAACTCGAGTAAAGACGAAACACTTTCGTATTTACGTATTTTTATCAATTATTGTTCATTGAACGGGAGTTGGTTTGTTCCCCTTGAAAAGTCAACTAATTTCCGATCAATGACAATGATTACATGTTTTAATTTTTCCTTTTACAATTGAAATTTTATTCTTCGTGATGATTTAACTCCAGTCCCCGTTAAAACATTATTAACATTTTGCTTTCAAATTACTTCAAAACATCTTTCAAAATATAACTTACCAGTATGGATGCACACTTTTAAAATAATTCTACTTTAATTAAACTTAGGAGATAATATAATCAATTAATCAATACTGTTTAGGAAATAAATAAATATATATATATATATATTTCTTTGAAATCTGGTCTCGTAAAATAGTTATCATAAAAAAGAACAACGTGTATAATGATTTTAATGAATCCGACTATTTGAAATTTCGTAAAACTATGTAATATTTTTAATCAGACATCTCAATGATTTTAATGCATTTTTATTTACCTCAATCATATTGAAATTAGAAAAAATATTCTTAAGAATTGTGTTTATTGCTTTTAAAGCGCTTAAATTTGTTACTCAATAACCTTCGAGATTAAAATCTCGAAGTTAAATATCTTAGGCTTTACTGAATCGCAACACACTGGGGCATGAAAAATTAAAGTACTGTTTCCAGAAAAGACCAACACATTGCTTTCAAATGGCCAAGTTTGATGATTAAAACTGAAACATAAATATGTCACATTTTGTCGAAATGATAACAGTATGGTACGCTGGAGATAAAAATGTTTTATTTCAAACAGTGTTGCCACTTCTCGCTTTCAAATCGCTCAATTTGTTAATCACAAATTCCTTAAATTTGTACAAAGTGGAAAATAAATTTAAAAAAAAAAATAAAAATTTGGTAGCTATGGGTGCCGTCATTTTTTCACAATGTGACGAACATATATACATATACTTCATTATTTATTTTTTAAAATATTACTTTGCGATAACATTTGGTGGCAACAGTTTGAAAAATAAATTGAACACAAAAGTGATACAGACAAAAATGCGAATATGAAGACCAATAGCATGTCTGATTCTATAAATATAAAAATAAACACTAGCGTTCATATAGATGAATATGAGTTGCTGAGAGTTCAATGACTCGATATTAATCAACGCAATGATATTTGTCTTATGTAAAAACAATTAAGTTTAATAAATATTGAACATAAATATCAAACTTAATTACACTAATGTCCTTTAATTGTATTTAAATTCCATTAATTAAATATTACAGCAGAGAAAGAAAATATATTTTCAATTTTATTGCTGGAAGGGAAGGAAGAACTTTTTTAGTGTTACCCAGTGTTGTTTTCCAGTGCATTTCTAAAATATTGCTGCACAATAAATACGTTATTACTTTAATAATTATACAGCAATTATTCTTGGCCTCCGACTATTTCTTATTAATGGTTTATTTAAATAGTCAATTAATGGCAATTTTATTCATGTAGTGTACTTGTGAAAAAATGATTAGCGCGCTATTACGCAAAAAATTATTCAAGAATTTACGTTAATTATATAGCAGTCGTTAATAAATATTGAACTGATTCACTTATTCTTAATTCCTTTAATACAAAAATGTGTAAAGCAAAAAAAATCTTCATTGGGTTATTGTGACCAAAAATTTACAGCCACCCTCCAAAATTTTACAGCCATTTGATACTTAAATTGATAAATTGTACTCATAGAGTTTCATCTCTTCATATTAATAAAGTATTATTTATTATATAATAGCAATATATTTACAAAAGCCTTTTGGAAAACGGGATTTCCCTTTCAGTAAGGGGTTCAGTAAATTTTAGAAGAATCTTGTGACATTTTTTAAACTATATTAATTTAAATTTATTAGATTTAATTAATTTAAATCTTAGTCGGAATATTATATATGAAGAATACTTTTATATAAAATAAAAAATATATATAAAAATTTGCAAAAAAATAAAAAAAAAAAGAATAGAGAAAGAGAGATGATGCAGGGAGGGGATTGCAATGCAAATTAGGAAACATTCTTTCATAACATTTTCCTCTGAAATCCATGCCATTTTGCCCCAAAACGGCACTTTTATTTGTGTAGATGAAGTGAAGAATTATTATTATTTTCTTAGCCAAACAATTTTCAGTGACAAAAACAAATAAAGTGGCTTTATTATTTACATAACACCGAAAACGAATACTGTGTTTATGCACATCCGCATCATACATGTTGAAAGAAAAACTTTACTTTTCATTATTTTAAAGACCATTATAATGTAGTTCATGAAAATCGACACATATCAATTTATGCTTAAATTGTGACATTAAAATATCTTAAAAAATAAAGTGGAAGTAAGTTTAAAATGTTTATTATTTTTTTTTTTCTTTTGGTTATCAAATTCACCATTCTCCAAACGTTAAAATGGAATGATGTTCAAGTTTTATAATATTACACATCAGTTTGTAGCTAATAATTTTTAAATAATAACAAACATCGATATAATTAAGAAATTGAAAAACAGCAGACATGTTTGTTGCTTGATTACTTAAAAATATTACGCGTTGCGTAATTTCTAAATAAACAATGTTCTCCGTAATTATGTACGTACACAAACTTAAAATTTACATCCACATATTCTTTGGAATTAGGAAATATCAACTTTAAAAAAAAATATTTGGCATGGATATTTAGTACTTCGACAATTAATATTACTATTAGAATATTCATTATACAATTAATCGTTACTGTTTCCTGTTTAAGTAATTTTCTCCAAAGGAACAACATTAAATAATTTTTCGAAGAGCTAGAATATGCGACTCGGAATAATCAATTTATTAGTTTTAGCGCCAGCAAAAGTTACTTTGTAGAATAAGTGTCCGCAATCAAAATTAACTAAACACTTAACAATAGTTTGTTTATAACGCCAAACTCCACCAAAATCTTTTTTAAGAACAAAATTCTAACATCTGCATCATAGTAGGTGTTTATATTCTAAGTGGCGGCACAATCGATTAGAACATAGCGCCTTCTCGAAGAAAACTGTCCATTATCTTTTAACTGCTTTTGTCTCTCTTTCTATATTCCACATTAAAATCAAACTCTTCTCACCTGTATAGATGAGCTGCATCAGGAGATGAAGGATAGCCCTCTGCAGTTTTCTCCGTGAATCCATTTTCGCGGGATTATGCAAAATATCAACAAAAAAAGTATGATAAAAGTTTCGCAGACGATTTTGGGAAAAAAACTCCTGTCCTTGTCGATCGAGCTAAATTCAATAACAACTTTCCTCAGAAATGTAGTCAAAGAGACAAGGTACGTAAAAGAAAGGAAATAAAAATCCAACCACTACAGAACCACAACACGGTATCAATACTCGGCGCAACTGTACGGTAGCATGTCACGAATAGGAATTTTTCGGTCGAAATCGAAGCGCGTACACTCGACCCGCCAGCGGTTGCAGCTAAGCGGCGAAGAACCGTGCAACCGGCGACTGCCGCTAGTCACCCCTTTCCGTAGGCGCGCGAGCGTCGAGATCGTTGGCGTCATCTCGCCAATCAGCAGCGAGTTGTTCCGCGACCGAGAAAGAATAACTTCGCCAAGCGAGTTGATCGATTTTTATGTATTGAGAGAACTTTATATTCGACAACGATTTTAGGATGGACTTTGCGTGATGACGAACGAGTTCTCTCGGGGAATCTCTACGGTTCAAAAACCAGTTAATTTGAAAATTTATTTTCGTTTTCAACCGGAAAATTTGTAATTCGCAATATTTTTCGAACGAATTCGTAGGTACTGGGTTACGTTCTGCAAAATTATTCAAGAGCTCAGTAATTATAATCTTCGAAAATCATTTTTCTCTGTTTCATCAATCAGTCTTCAGCGTTAATTGATTGCCCCCTTTTTACAAAACTCAGTTTATTTATTTATTTATTATTTTTTTTCCACTGCTATAATTCGAAACTTTTAAGGAAATTTTAATAGAGATTTTGATGTGTCCCTAACTCAGAAAATATGGTATTTTTTAATTAAAATCAAATAACTAAGTGTATTATCTTTTCAAATGAAAGGCGAACTAATATTCCTGTGTCAAGGGACTTATCATCCTTTCAACAGAAATACTTTTACAGATGAAAGCATTTTAAAAATGAGATTTCTATATTTCATTACGTGTGTGTAATAATATGATAAGTATAAAATTTTGCATAAAATTTAATATAAAATTAATATAGAATTTAATATAAAATAATAAATTTAATGTGCACCATCTTCTCTACATATAATAAAAGAAAGAGTCTGTCTGTGTGTGTGTCTTTCATTCGCGTTGCGAGTAAGCTAATAGACCCACGGCTACGAAATTTGGTACATAGGTGCATCTAGACAAGAGCCAGTGCACCTCGAAGCGATTTTTTCGAAATTCGAATTAATTTTTTTATTTTTTTTATTTTATGTTTTGTGACGAAATCGCGTCATTTTGAGACATAATGGGCTATAGGAAAACGAGATTTTGTTCCACGCACTCCATTTTCACATCGTCATGAAACGTAGGCACTTAGCTATTTTACGAACTTGAAATAAATTTCGTGTTTCAATAAATCGATTGAATACGAATTTATTTAACAAAGTGAGCTTAAGTTAACAAGTATTAAATATTCAAAATTTCTAGTTTTCTGTGCAAAAGAATGTATGTAGATATACATAAAGTTTCTAAAGCGTCAATAAAAAATTGTTTTTATTTCGTTTAATTCCTGCAAAATATTATAATTTTGAATGCAGTGAAAAAAATGCAATTAGCCAGGAAAAATTTACAATATTATTGCAAATATGCAAAATTAAAAAAGCTCAAGCTACATTTTTACATTAATCTACTCATCGTTAAGGGTTTGCTCGTACTTAAAGAAGTGATTAGGAAGCATTAGTTTGATAGCTATGAGCTTGGAAGCATCGGTATGGAGAACTGACAAAGACAAAAAAACCTCATGATTTACAAAATAGCAAGGAAGCTATTAACGTGGTATACATATCAACAAATATGTAATTTTGTTTCGGAAAAAGCCGTGTTACTAAGAAATCTAAAGTAGTGGATATTTATCGAATTCTAGTTTTTTCGTACCTCCCCACCTCGAAAAAAAACTGGAGTCTATAACTATATTCTAAAATTATATTTGTTGTTATTGGTATATATATAAATTGGTATAATGGTTGTTATTGGTATAAATATAAAGATTTCTGGTGAAGAATTGGATATATTTGTGGTTTATTTAACAGTTGGTTTGCTGGTTTTTCGCAGAAACAACTTCAAAAGGATTTTTCTATTATTTTGAGGTCAAAACTTTATTTTTTGATTTTTTTCATTATTTTGGGTTTCAGATGTGCTTTATAATTTATTACTAACTAAAGATTATATCATTCAAAACTATTTTCTGATTAACATTACCTTCTGGACATTCTGTGTGACGCTGTTTCTCTTCAGCAGTTTCTCGGGAGTGAGAAAAGCCTGTTTATTGCCAAAAAAAAAAAAAAAAAAAAAATACTGCTGTTCTCCGTAAACTCCCAAACATTTTTCTTTTTACGTATCAATCTGGTAAATTTCAAACAAATTCAAATTTTAAGAAGAAATATTTGTCCTTGATTAAGAAACAGCCTTCCAGAAAGGCACAGGATTCTTTTCTTCATTCAAGGTTTTATGCTCCAAGCGGTGTGGGCGGGCTAAAACGTCGCGGAGAAAATGAAGCAAAGGGAAACATCGTCGTACAAAACATCGTGAGAAAGCAAGGAAAAATACCTCAATTTTAAATAATCGTGTTACATCGAATAAAGCCTTCAAAAACTTAACAGCTTTAACCCTTCAGGACACGCTACCTTTTAAGGTTGGAGTTTTGATTAAAAAATAATGGTAGGCAGTTTAATTAGGCTTAGAGAAGTACACAAATAAAATTTTGTGAAGATAGTACTTATCGCTTTAACTCTGTCCCAATTTTGAAGGATCCGAGGCAATAATTTAACACCCCTTTTCTCCCAACGCAACTTTTCGTCGAGACTTTCAGTTCGATAGCATTTAACCCTTTCCGGCACGCTACCTTTTAAAGTCGGAGTTTTCATAAAAACAAAGAAAGGCAATCTTACTAGGCCTAGAGGAGTACACAAGTAAAATTTTGTGAAGATAGCACTTATCGTTTTAATTCTGTGGGTGTGCCCAAAGTGGGCACACTACTTGAATAGAGCTTCGAAAAGTGTGCTGAAACGAGCATTGTTGTCAATGAACTGACCGATGAGATGCGGAGAAACAAAGACTACGGACTCTCAGTTGTCCTAGATTATCGGTGAGCCCTGTCTGGGCAAACCTAGAGTTCGCCGTTTGATTTTGGGCAAGATTTCAAGGTAAAAATTTGAAACTAATATAGAATAAGGAGATTAGCATACAGCCAAAAAAAATAACATAGAAATTTCTTTTCAAACAATTCCTTTTATACCCTAAAATAATCTGGAAGCTTTCTTTGAAAAATGAGGGTGTTAAAAACGTAAACATGGCTAAAATATATGGACAGGTTTGTGTTGAGCTCCCATCTACTATAAATAAAGAAGGTTCAGAGTAACCTATAGTAACCTATAAATCCTTTTTCGTATAATTTTTCAGAACAGAAGTGCATACAGAATTCAGTGCGTACAGAAGGAAATTTTTAGGTGTGTCCAGACCGGACACACTGTGCCGCAAAGGGTTAAAACCTCACAGTAGAAAATATCGTGGTAAAAAGTAAAGAGCCTACAAATCATCGTATGGTAATAAAATCCTCGCATGTGTTCTCAAAATTTAAATATTTTAAATGCATATTCGTATTACTAAATACGCCTTAAATATGCAGCAGTAGCTTAAATTTCATATTTAATTTGCTATTTTATCTTTCGCTCCCACAAACAGTAACTGCTTTTAACACATTTCTCTAAACTGCATTATTTCAACATTACATAACGCCAGCGACAATAGAAATTACCTTCCAATAATAATTTCAAATCTTGGAAGCGAAACTTCTAACTAGCCGCGGGTCACAAATCGGAACTGAAAATCAATCAGAATGAAAAATCTTTCAGAATGAAAGTGCATTTCATATTGAGCACGACACATTCTCTCTTTTGCTTCGTTACTAACGCTAGCTACTCCATCTGTCTTCAGATACAGAAGGTCCATACAAACCTTACCCAATATATGAACTCCTAATGACCTGTCCGCTCATCTAATCGAAATTGAATTTCAGACACAGTTATTTGAAGAACAATAGCGGTATCTTATAGATTTATGAAAATATGCAAGGTGATCATAAGACGAAACCTTCCCCGATATATGAACCCATAGCTGCCTATGCGCTCAACCAATTGAAACAAAATTTCAGATATTGTTATTTGAAAGTATATGCTCGAGATTGTGAAAATTAAAAAAACAGAGCTTCCACTACTACGGTTACAGTGAAAACATTTCGAAATTTCCGAATGGAAACATCCACTTTTTCCTGCGAAAATTGATCAGCACAGTGAAAACCATAAATAACGATACATGTATAACAAATCTGCCGACGTAAAACATTTGCTAAGAAGAGGACTATAAAAGACCAATGACAACTCAAAAGAGGTGAGGGGAGCAAATACTTTTATAGGAAATATAGATTTTTAACTGCTCAAGATAGTCATCTCCGTAACTTTGCAGTTTCGTGGCCACCGTGATCCCCCTCCCGGCCTCACTTCGATGGATTTCTGGGGTAATCGGAGATCTAAGGCGCACACATCAGAATTGTCAGAATTGAAAGATGACATAAAATGTGAAATTATACAGATTCCTCCTGCCATGTTACACTCGTTATTATTGATAATACTATCCTGCATACAATGCGTAATGAAAGTTTTGCATGTTGTTTGAGGGTAAAAGAACTATTTCAATCTTTCTAACTTTACATTCTTTCTTAATGTCTCTGTGAAATAAAACAAGACAAAAAAAATGTCCTTCATTTTTTTTTAAAATCTAATATTTATTTGACATGGGAAAGAAAAATCTGAAAGGGTTCAGATTTTAACTGTTGTCCAAAGGGACTTTTTTGAAGTTTAATTTGGTTATTAGTATAGATTACAGATGGTTCAAAGACGGTAGATTACATGCATTTTTATTGAAATGAATCGGATTAAAAAATTTTAAAAATAACATTTTTAAGAACTGCATCTATTGCTTTTAAATAGCTTGTTTGTTCATCAATAACAGACAGTTTAATTATGAAAGATAAATATCTCACATTTTGCCGCATGGAAACAGACTCGAAAGAAAAGTGAAATAGCACATTACTTACATTGGACGACAGTCAAAGTGAAACAGCGCAACATCGTGTTTCGTGACTAATAGCCCTTTTTTGGGAGTTTTCACAGTATTTAGTTAGGCTGTATCTTTCTATTTTATAATGGAGAAAAAATCTTAAATAAGATATTCTCCTCCTTTTCCAAGTGGATAAGACAGCCAAGACT